CAGCGTCGCCATTCGGTGGCCTGGGAAAACCGTGATAAAGAACGGCGGTTCTGCCTGCCCCAGCCCCCGCTCCATCACCCCGCTCCGTTATTCTTGGAATCCGTTTCCAAGAGACAACAGTTTGCGAGCACGCACCCGACGGTGCAAAAGCTGAACGTCCTCCTGTCCAAGTTGCTGGTGCTGCAGTCCCTCCCTTTCCAAGTGGTGGACTCAGCACCTTTCCGAGAAATGATGGCTTGTGCCGCGCCGCGGTGGAGAGTGCCAAGCCGGCATTTCTTCGCCAAAAAGGCAGTGCCAGCCCTGCATTCACATGTAGAAGAGATGGTGGGCCAGTCTTTGAGCATGTCGGTCTCTGCCAAAGTGCACGGCAGCGCCGACGTGTGGAGCTGTAACTACGGTCAGGGACAGTACATGTCATTTACGGCCCACTGGGTGAACGTGGTGCCGGCACAGCCGCACCAGCAACTTGGACAGGTCACGCCGCTTTTGCCTCCACGTTTGCACGTCCTTGGTCCAGCAAAGATGTCCGCCTCTACCACCTCTTCTTCCGCCGTGTCCTCAGCCGCCACCCCCATGCCAAGTCCCATTACCCGAACCGGCATATCACATGTGCAGGGCGCAACGGTGTCACGCTGTGCTGCACCTGGTATGCCTTGGCGAACGTAGTCACACAGGGGAGGAACTTCTGAGTGTAATGAACAGAGAAATCGACAGATGGCTGTCTCTGCGCAAACTGAAAATCGGAACCATGTTGACCGACAACGGAAAGAACATGGTGTCTGCTCTGCGTCAAGGAAGGTTGTGCCATGCGCCATGCATGGCTCACGTGTTCAATCTGGTTGTCAAGCGGTTCCTAAAATCCACCATCCCACTGCAAGACATCCTTAAAATGTCACGTAAACTTTGCATGCATTTCAGCCATTCCTACACCGCAAAGCACACCCTCCTTGAGCTGCAGCGGCAGAACGGAATTCCACAGCATCGCCTGATCTGCGACGTTGCAACAAGGTGGAATTCAACCCTACATATGTTAGACCGCCTTTACGAACAGCGAAAGGCCATCACCGATTTCCTGATGTTACAAGCGGATAAAGGTACTCCCCTGTGTAACTTAGATGTCAGCCATTGGCAGCTCATGCGTGACACCTGCCGCTTGCTCAGGCCCTTTGAGGAGGCCACGCTATTCGTGAGTCGGCAGGACTATGGGATGAACGACGTCATTCCTCTGTTGCACGTCCTGGAACAAATGCTGTTAACAATGGCTGGTCAGGGTGCGGTAGACGTGGCGCACAGATCTCAACGCCACATGACCCCTGTGGGGGCAGGACAGGAAGAAGAGGAGGAGGTAGAGGAGGACATTGGTGCTCAGGAATTATTGAGTGAAATGGGTGGTTTTTCCACTCAGCGGACAGGAGTGGAGGAGCAGGAGCATCTGGTAGAGGAGGAGGAGGAGACAGAGACCCAGACGCACCGTGGCAGTATGCTGTGGAGATGGAGGCAGGGAGTCCCTCGCATTCCTTGGCACAAATGGCCCATAGCATGCTCGGTTGCTTGCGTAGCGACAGCCGAATAATAACCATCAGACAGAGGGATTACTTTTGGCTGTCCACCTTGTTGGACCCTCGCTACCGTTCAAAAATGGTGGCCTTTTTCACACCTGCTGAGAGGGAGGCCAAAATAACGTACTATAAAAACCACCTATGTAGTCAGTTGGTCTCTGCCTTTCTGCGCCAACGTCCATCCTCAGACACTGTGGGCCCTGTGCGCTCGCGTTCCGCTGCCATGGCAGCAGGGGAGGGGTGTGGGGTGGTAGGAGCAGTGGCAGCTCCACCAGCAGCGGCTGCCTCAGTCTGCAGTCGATGATGAGTAGCTTTCTTCACCACCAGCGCAGTGAGGAAACTACTAACCAGCCGCAGCAGCAGCAGCATCAGGTGGACCTGGAGCAGGACCTCAAACAACAGGCTTGGGCCTACTTGGACAGCACCCTGCCAACCGAGGTAGACAATCCCCTTGACTACTGGGCAACGAAACTTGACCTTTGGCCCCAACTAGCTGAATTTGCCCTTGAAAGGCTGTCATGCCCGGCCAGTAGCGTGGCATCGGAGCGCGTGTTTAGTGCGGCAGGAGGTATTGTAACTCCGCGGAGGACACGACTGTCCACCCCCAAAGTGTGGAGAGACTCACGTTTGTGAAAATGAATCAGGCGTGGATTAGTCTGGATTTCAAACCACCAGTTCCTGACACAACTGACTAAATCCGCCATGAATCATGCCCCAAACATGTTATTATTTTTAACATAGGCCTCTGTATGGTCGTCAATTTAAGCTGCTTACGCTTCGCCACTCTGCCATGGGCCCCTGTACCGCCTCCTCTTGCTGCTGCCAGGTCCAGAGTGTGTCATGGGTCCCTGTACGGCCTCCCATTGCTGCTGTCTCCATCGCCACACTCTGCCATGTGCCTTTCAGGTCTCCTCACACTGCTGGTGGGTTCCATTTTGTCATAGGGTGCTGGCAGATTACGGGCCTCCCATTGCTGCTGCCAGGCCCGTAATCTGCCATGGGCCCCCGTACCGACTCCTCATGCTGCTGCCAGGCCCGTAATCTGTCATGGGCCCCTGTACCGCCTCCTCATGCTGCTGCCAGGTCCAGTGTGTGTCATGGGTCCCTGTACGGCCTCCCATTGCTGCTGCCAGGCCGTAATCTGCCATGGGCCCCCGTACCGCCTCCTCATGCATGCTGCTGCCAGGCCCGTAAACTGTCATGGGCCCCTGTACCGCCTCCTCATGCTGCTGCCAGGTCCAGAGTGTGTCATGGGTCCCTGTACGGCCTCCCATTGCTGCTGTCTCCATCGCCACACTCTGCCATGTGCCACTTTCAGGTCTCCTCACACTGCTGGTGGGTTCCATTTTGTCATAGGGTGCTGTATGGCCTCCCATTGCTGCTGCCAGGCCCGTAATCTGCCATGGGCCCCCGTACCGACTCCTCATGCTGCTGCCAGGCCCGTAATCTGTCATGGGCCCCTGTACCGCCTCCTCATGCTGCTGCCAGGTCCAGAGTGTGTCATGGGTCATGGGCCTCCCTGTTGCTGGCCAGTAATCTGCCATTGCTGCTGTCTCCATCGCCACACTCTGCCATGTGCCACTTTCAGGTCTCCTCACACTGCTGGTGGGTTCCATTTTGTCATAGGGTGCTGGCAGATTACGGGCCTCCCATTGCTGCTGCCAGGCCCGTAATCTGCCATGGGCCCCCGTACCGACTCCTCATGCTGCTGCCAGGCCCGTAATCTGTCATGGGCCCCTGTACCGCCTCCTCATGCTGCTGCCAGGTCCAGAGTGTGTCATGGGTCCCTGTACGGCCTCCCATTGCTGCTGTCTCCATCGCCACACTCTGCCATGTGCCACTTTCAGGTCTCCTCACACTGCTGGTGGGTTCCATTTTGTCATAGGGTGCTGGCAGATTACGGGCCTCCCATTGCTGCTGCCAGGCTTGTAATCTGCCATGGGCCCCCGTACCGACTCCTCATGCTGCTGCCAGGCCCGTAATCTGTCATGGGCCCCTGTACCGCCTCCTCATGCTGCTGCCAGGTCCAGAGTGTGTCATGGGTCCCTGTACGGCCTCCCATTGCTGCTGTCTCCATCGCCACACTCTGCCATGTGCCACTTTCAGGTCTCCTCACACTGCTGGTGGGTTCCATTTTGTCATAGGGTGCTGTATGGCCTCCCATTGCTGCTGCCAGGCCCGTAATCTGCCATGGGCCCCCGTACCGACTCCTCATGCTGCTGCCAGGCCCGTAATCTGTCATGGGCCCCTGTACCACCTCCTCATGCTGCTGCCAGTCCAGAGTGTGTCATGGGTCCCTGTACGGCCTCCATTGCTGCTGTCTCCATCGCCACACTCTGCCATGTGCCACTTTCAGGTCTCCTCACACTGCTGGTGGGTTCCATTTTTTCATAGGGTGCTGTATGGCCTCCCATTTGCTGCTGCCTCCACCGCCACACTGTGGCTCCACAATCTGGTTTTGGCCCCGTGACTGCCCAAATGAGTGAAGTGTGCGGTGATTCTAAGATCGACGGCACTCATCTGCATGTCATACTGACTGACAGTATTATTTCTCTTCCCCAGCAGACTCCAAGGGCATTTAAATTAAAGGTACAGTGTTCTGCACTAATATAAAGGCTCTCTGAAGCCTAGAAACACCCTTTTTATAAGTTAAATTCGCAGCAAATATATTCGACTCGAATCGAATTTATTCCGCGAATTCGCCGAATCAGCCGAATCGAATTTTTGAATAATTCGCTCATCTCTAATGAAAACCTCTACAGACTTTCATCATCCAATCATGTACAAACAAAATTGCATACTTTTATTTGTCTTGCATCTGTTTGGATGTACTTTGCAAAGTGAAACTTCAAGACATTCACTAATCTCTGGGGCATATTCTCTTGCAATGTGCAACTTCTCTTGCAAAGTGAACAGTCTATTAGCCTTTAGTAAATCAACCCCTTAAAGAAGATTATTATTTCAGTCAAAATCCTCACACATTCAATGATCTGTTCATTGGTGAATCATCTAAATGACTCTCCATTCTATTCAAATGGTGGTGCTCCTATTCACAATGTGTTATCTTTACTTACAGTAAACCAAAGTATACAGTACCATGTTGGAGGGCTTGAAAAAACGTATTTAAATTAAATTGTAAATTTATTTGAAGGTTGTGTTTGAGTGCCAACCTTGTTAAATGCCGTGGCCTCTTCGGGCACCAATAGTTGGAAAAGCATATAAGCATGGCACTTTATATCAGATAATACATGCAGGATGCCCACTGCATAGTCCACTGTCACCTATTTCAAAGAAGGGAGTGCTTATGAATAAAATCTACAATAGCTATGCAACTGTCTACTAGCAAGTAGGGGCTAATGTAACACTTGTGGAGCACATGAAAGTTCCAGCAAAATGTATCAGTTTGTAGAAGAGGCTTAGGGTAGGAAAGGTCAGGAGACTTTTTTTATACATAAAGTAGAGAAATACAAGGAATAGAATAAACATGGACAGAAAGTGTGCAAAAAAAAAAAAGTTGTAGTTGTGACGATCACGGCGTCAGACCCCAGCCCTTCTCACCAAACTCGTGACCGAAGGACTAGCCAATCTAAAACCGCGCTGTCACAGGCATAACAATGCCATGCCCAGCTGCACCCTGCACAAAGATTTTCCAGCTAATGGACCACAATCTGTGTACTTGCAGCCTGGGAGCAATTGTTACTGGGTCAGGTTAATTACGCAATTAACCCTTCACACTGCCAACCCTTCACACTGCCACCACCTCCTTTTTGTACAGAGAAAGAGGAAACTCGGCAAAATCAGCAATAACACTATGATGTTGAATAATCTTCTGTATACCACTGTCACCGCAGGCAGGGTATACAGAGGTTTAAACACACACAGTAGCACTCTTCAGAGACAGGGGTTCTTAGTTTACATTAAAGAGCTTTAGAAACAGTTCAGCACTTTCAGAAAGTAAGATTTATTACTAAAAGGTCAAAAGGGTGCAATAAAAATATTTACAGAAAAAGATGTAGCCAATATATATATATAAATATACCGAGAGCAATAACACAGCAAAGATATAACAGAAAGGAATTTAGAGAGGTAGAGTACTTGCCAAAAGTCCTGGGTTAAGCAGATCAAGTTTCAGAGCAAAAGGGTACCGTCTCCCAAATTTGGTTCCGATGTTAAAAGGAAGAATCTTCAATTTAGCTCAACTCAGCTTAGCTTAGCTTAACTGAGCATAACAGCCTTTTTCTAGGAACTCAGCAGGGTGTCTCCATACAGCAGAGAACCAATCGCCTCATTTGGGGTGGGGTGTTGGGGCAGAGACCCAAGCTAGAACAAAAAACCCTCGCAGTTGATGTCATGGTTCATAACTTACTCTCAGTGCATTTAGCAGCCTTGCCACTAGTAGATTAATATGCAGACGCATCTGCTGAACGTCTAGATATGAAATATGACATACCTGCTGGAACGGTTAAGGAGATATATTCTGCTCTCCTATAGATGTCAGCTAGGGGGTGTAATATATCAGGTGGCTTGTATTAAAGTGGCCGATCTGAATTTATGCCTGTTTTTTTTGTAAGTTTTTCATAATCCTCGGGGACTTCAACATCCCCATCAACGACAACACCCCGGCTACTTCCCAATTCCTCCACCTAACCTCCTCCTTCGCGCTCACACAGCACACTCAATCCTCCACCCACTTCGGAGGGAACACCCTGGACCTTGTCTTCTCCCACCTCTGTACCCTCAACCAGTTCTCGAACACCCCCTTCCCTCTCTCCGACCACCACCACCTCCTCACCTTCTCCATATCCCCTTCCCCCAACTCCCCCCCTCAAAAACGCCAAACCATCACCAGCCGCAACCTCCGCAACCTGAACCCGGCCCCCCTCCACTCTGCCGCCGACTGCCTACACGACAGCATCCTCCCACTGTCATGTCCTGACACAGCCACCACCTTGTACAATGACTCACTGTCAGCTGCCCTAGACTCTCTGGCACCCCTAACCACACGCATCATCAAACCCAGACCGCTCCAACCATGGCAGACCGACAGCACTAAATGCCTCAAACGTCGCAGTCGCGCACTGGAGAGACTGTGGCGCAAAACCAGGTCCCCTCATACTTTCTCCCTCTACAAATCTGCATTTCTTATCTACACCTCCTCCCTCCACGTCGCCAAGCAGGCCTACTTTGTTAACCTAATAAACACCCTCTCCTCCTGCCCCCGCCGACTCTTCTCCACCTTCAACTCCCTGCTCTCCCCCCCCTCCTCCACTCAGTACCTCTCTCACCGCCCACGAGATTGCCACCCATTTCCACAACAAGATTGACGCTATCTGTAAGGACATCGTCAACTTGCAATCTACCTCCCCACCTAGCCTCCTCGCTCCCGTCACCCCTTCATCTCCCCCCTCCTCTGCCCTCACAACCGCACTGCCCCCCTCCTCTCCCAATGCCCCGCCCACCATAACCCCCCCCCGCACTGCACTCCCTCAGCCCTGTCACTACTGAGGAAGTCGCCAAAGTCCTCTCAAAAGCCCGCCTCACTACCTGCCCCCTGGACCCTATCCCCTCTTAACTCCTCCGGTCACCCCCCTCTTCCCTCATCCGCTCCCTCACCCACATCTTCAATCTCTCCCTCTCTACTGGCGTATTCCCCTCCCCCCTAAAGCACGCGCATATCACCCCCATCCTCAAAAAGCCCTCCCTGGATCCCGCGGACCCCAACAACCTCAGACCCATCTCCCTGCTGCCACTTACCTCCAAGCTCCTTGAACGCATAGTCTACGATCGCCTAAGCGCCCACCTTACAGACAATAACCTCCTTGACCCTCTACAGTCCGGCTTCCGTCCCCTACACTCCACTGAAACTGCCCTCCTCAAAATCACTAACGACCTACTCAACGCCAAAGCCAAGGGCGACTACTCTGTCCTTCTTCTCCTGGACCTCTCTGCGGCCTTCGACACAGTTGACCACCCCCTCCTCCTTAATAAACTACTCTCCCTTGGCATCGGAGATACTGCTCTCTCTTGGTTCTCATCCTACCTATCCCGACGCTCCTTCAGTGTCACCTACAATGGTGCCACCTCCCCCTCCCTCCCCCTCTCTGTTGGGGTCCCCCAAGGCTCTGTCCTTGGACCCCTTCTCTTCTCCATCTACACCTCCTCCCTGGGCAAACTCATGCAATCTCACGCCTTCAACTATCAACTCTATGCTGACGACACCCAAATCTACCTCTCCACCCCTCACCTCACCCCCACTATCTCCGCCCGCATCACTCACCTCCTAAATGACATCTCAGACTGGATGTCGCTACATTTCCTCAAGCTCAACCTCTCCAAAACTGAGCTCCTCATCTTTCCCCCTGCCAACACCCCCCCCCATCCTATCCATCATCACCAACAACTCCACTATCACTCCCGCCCCGCAAGCCAAAGTCCTTGGCGTCATTCTTGACGCGAACCTCTCCCTCCAACCGCATGTCAAATCACTCACAAACACATGCAGGCTCCATCTTCGCAACATTGCCAAGATACGCTCCTTCCTCACCCCAGACAC